GGGGCGAGACGAGGGGGTGGCCTCCAGCCACAGACACGCAGCCCCTTCCCCCAGACACACCTCTGTTTCTCAGCAGCCCTTGTGCCACTGGTTGCCCCTCACCCTTAGAGGCTCAGAAGGGCCCCAGGGAGAGCAGGGGGTCCCAGCACCTGGGGCCACGGTCCCACTGAGACACATGGCAAGGCTTGAAGCACCAGCAGAGCCCGGCATGGGGCAGGGCAGGATGTGGCCCTTGGCCAGCGGGATGCAGCTGGGACCTTGGCTGCTCCCTGACCCTGCCATGCCCGGCTCCCCCAGGCACCGTGCTGGGGCTGGCAGTCCTCAGGGTCAGGGGACACAGCAGCCGTGCATCCGCAATGGCACAGAGGGGTCCTTCCCAGGGCACCCTGGCACCCAGGACCTCGTAGTGTGGATTGGGGGCCGGCAGGACACTAGGCTCCTGTCCACCACTGTGGGGGAAGCAGGGGCCCAGCCAGGAAACGTGGACACCTGGATCCTGTTCTTGGGGCAGGGACAAATTCAGCCTCTGCTTCCTCCCTCCTTCCTGGCAAGGGGAAGCCAGGGCAGGGAGGGGACAGGCTGAGGATGGAGGAGCCCAGGCTGCCCGGGTAGTCAGCAGCACCCAAGGACTCCCGCAAGAGACTGTGCCGCTTCCCCCCCACACTCCAGCCATCCCTCCCCTGTCTTTTACAGAGCAGCCACAGTCCCTGGGGTGACCTTCACCCTCGCTTTACAGCCCGGGCGCAGGGCTGTAAACCCAGCCCCACTTATCTGTGCCCGGGGAAAGGTCACGGGGGAGGAGGTGGGGAAGGATGGGGTGAACGGGGTGATGGAGATAGCCCCATCAGGAGCTGCCCCACTGGCAGTGGCCTCCGGAGAGGATGGCAGAGCCTTCCCCCCTGCAGGGCATCGGCACAGAGACCCCCATGCTGCTGAGTGCAGGACCCTGGGGTGAGCATGGATGGGAGCCAGAGCGAGAGCCCCCCGTGCAGCTCCAGGGGAGCCCTGGGCTCTCCCCAGTCCTCCCCAGGTCCCGTGGGATGGAGGTGCCTTGGGGTGGGTGCTCTGGGGACCGGCCAGCCCCAGGGCGTGGGGGGCTCGGGTCCTTCAGGCTCGTGGCTGGGCGCAGAAGGGTCCACACTTACCTCCCTGTCGCAGAGCAGGGCTCCTGGAGTGGCTTCAGCTGGGGCTGCTCAGGAGCTGGAGGAGCTCAGCCCACCCCAGTGCCTGGTGCTGGCCCAGTCCGGACCACAGAGGGGCGGAGGGCCAGAGGGCCCTCCCTCAGGGCACCACACCCACTCGCAGATAGGGAAACTGAGGCACAGAGCACACAGACCAGCTGGGAAGCAGCCCCAGGCTGCCCACCAGCCCCCAGCCTGTGTCCCACGCAGGGTCTCAGGCCAGCCCGGCTGCTGCTGCCGCACTCCTCTCCCTGCCCTGGCAGCTCGTAGCAGGAACAAGCGGAGAAAGTCACTTGCAACCAAGCAAACAAAGGTAGCTTCCTCCCAGGGCTGCGGGAAACCGGGGCAAGGTACAAGGGCTGGTAGAGCCAGCAGTCCCCAGGGCTGCTCCTGGGGAGAGGACATCTGCCTGCACAACCAGGGTGAGAGGCCAGGGTCAGTCCTGCCTTTGCTCTAGGGCTGCCCCAGGGAACCCACCGCCCAGGGGCCTGTTCCTTGTCCCCCAGGCACCACGCAGGATCCTTTGCGGAGCAAGCTCCCATGGGCTGATGAGCCAGACCTGAGGACAAGCCCTGGGGTCACTGCAGAACAGACAAATGAGGCTTATTACCTACAAAATCTTTATTAAAAATATAATCAGTCATTAACCACACAGAGGCTGCTCACACTAGACCAGGGAGGAAAGCACAGCAAGGGCAGGGGAGTAAATCTGGGACAAAAAACAAACCAACAACAAAAGCTCTGGCAGAGGCATGGGTGAGGTACAAGCCAGGCTGTGGGAGCCCAGGTGCAGGGCAGCAGAGTAGTGAGGCTGCCAGAGGGCAGCTTTATTGCTTCGGAAGTTGCATAGATTGCAGCATCCTCTCCAGCTTTGTGCTTCGGCAAGGCTGAGGACCAGCAGCTGGGAGCCAAGCTCTGTCCCCAGCGTGGGTAGCAAGGAACACAGACAGGGCCATCCCCATCCCCTGCCCATGCCAGCCGGGAGCACGGTGGGGACAGGCGCCATGTAACAGCATGTTAAGGGCAGAGAGCGCCAGCTTCAGGGGGTCAGGGAGCTGCCAGCACCTGACCACCAGCGAGGCAGGGAAGGGGAAGCACATCCATGCTCATCCTCAGCCCAGGGACTGCCTGGCAGATGGGAAGCTGAGCACAGCCTCTGCTGCATCTCAGCAGCTGGGAGGAGCGGGCTGAGCACCTGGGGCACCAAGTGGACTTCAAGGCTGCCTTCTCTTGAGCTTGGAGATGTAGATACTGAGGAGCCAGCTGAGCCATGTCTCTGCCAGGGAGGCGCTGGGGTTTTTGGGATTTAAGCCAAGGCAGAGGCACAGCCCAACCAGCTGGAGCCCTCTGGCATCTTTGGTAACAGCAGATCACCTGCTGCCCGCTCCTCCCCAGAGCAGCCTGGCAGCACGCAGACCCTCCCCAGACCAGCCTGGCAGCAGGCAGACGCTGAGCACGCAGGTACTGGTGGGACAGGTCCAAAGTTCCTCTCGTGCACATCAGCCTCGCAGGTACCTGCACGCAAGACAGACCTTTCGCTCCATCCTCACCCCAGCAGGCAGAGACGCTCCTGGCAGAGCCAGGGTGCCTGGCCACCCAGAGAGTAGGGAAGAGGGGCTCAGGGTGCTCGCAGGAGCCAGATCAGCACCCAGGCCTGGGGAGGTCGTCCCTGCCCCTACAATTCACACAAGCACCCACACCAAAAGCCAGGGTGGCTCCAGTCCACCTTGAGACAGCACCAGCGTCCCACATCTTGTCAGCAGCACAGATCCCACCTGCCCCGTGGTCCCCAGCTGGGACCAGCTCCCTGCATCTCCCCTGCCAACACCCAGGCCTGTGCTGACAAAAGCTTTCACGCCTGAGCCTGGCAGGAGCTGCCTGGGGAAGATGAGGGTGTCAGCCCCCCTCGTCCTCCTACCAGACTCTGCCGCAACCCGGCTTGGGGTGGTATCGGGGCTGCGGGGAGCGGATGTGCAGCTCTCCCTGGCAGTGGGGAAGCAGTAGCGGTTCTGCCCCTTGCCCCCATGGGTCCAGGGCAGCTGACCTCAATCAGCATCCAAAATAGTTGTTGGAGTAACTCGCATGATTCCTGTCAAAACAGTCATCATCATCGTCCTCCTCGAAGGGCTGCTCCTCAAAGAAGATGCCACCCAGGCCATACTCTCGCTCATGGACAGAGGCTTCATCAGGGGTGATGTGACAGGCGCCACCCACAAAATCAGCAAACCTGGGAAGAAGCCGCAATGAAGTTTGTTGTGCACATGTGCCTGGCGGCCTCCCGCACGGCCCTGGCACATGAGGAGCCGGGGTGAAGTACCTCAGTGCCAGGACCGGGCGTTATCTGTCCTTCCCCTGTGGCACGCCCTGCTGCCACACACCATGGACCTCCTGTGCCTCTGCCTCCCTATCTCTAAAGCCAGAGGTGACAGCACAGAGCCACCCCAGGCTTCCAGAGGCACACGGAGATGCAGGTCACCCACCCTGAGCACACTACCAGGGGACATTACCTCTTGGGAGACTGGATGCGGGAGACCACAGTCCAGGCAGGGAAATCTGGGCTTCTGCAGTAGCTTCGAAGCTCTTCAAGGGCCTTGCGTGTCTCTACCTCACCCTGGACCCGGTACTCCTCCTCTGTCAGCAGGCGAGGGGGGCTCGGCCTGAGCCTGGCACTCTGCGCTCTCCTGCCAGCGGAGCAGCACTGGTTACTGCCCACCCAGCCAGGGTGGGACCCCCAGCGCAGGCCCAGCTCCTGGGGCAGAGCTGGTGGTGGGAGGAGTGGAGCACGTCTGTCCCTCCAGCCTCTGCTCCTCACTCCCAAGGGAGGCTCCCAGCCACAAGGAGGGGCAGGGCACTGTCCTGCACCAACCCCCGGGAAAGAGAGACACAACC